GAGAATTTATCGAAAACAAACGTATGTTCGCCAATTTATCTTCTGAAATATTTATAATGTAAATGTATAATTCGCCTCGGGTATGTGCGTTTAAGAAAGTGCCCTGAAAAATGTCTAGGTAGCTGTAAAATTAATATAACTCTTCTAATGATACTTATAAGCTACAAAACGTATCAAGAACTGTGGGAGATACTTATGCATATTCATTTTTGAATGACCTTCTGTTGCAATACCATAGATGGCTGCTGTAATAAACCCGAGTATGGGGCTTCCTAAAAGGCCAACCCAAACACTCTTCCGAGTGAGTCGAGACCAGTAGAGACTCAAAGTGATGATTCCGACTAGGGGAGCAGCCAGTACACAGCAGATGTTCCTGTAGTTTGTTAATGTCGTCTAAATGTGAGAATAAATGTTAGCATTCAAATTCCTTAACGAGAAAAAAGTGCATCCATCGATGACCAAATGGCAACTGCTTTATTGAAAGTCATGAATTTTTTTCAATTTCCTATTCCTAGAATGCATTGCTAAGCTTAATTGATGAGAGTCTAAGTTATGCATATACAGAAGTGTGAAATGGAGGTCATACGTTTTTCGTAAAACGGTCACGGGGTGGAGCCTTTTAGTCCTTAATGTATAGGAAAACGTAAGCACGCGCCTTGCAGCAAGCCGGCCGACGGCCACACCGGGCAGCCGGTAGCCAATTAGCGTGCGTTTCAATATCGAACGCGCTTAGTGCTCTTGCTCACTATACTTTCCCGCTAGGGCCGCTTGTTCACAAACCACGTACTGGACATTTTTAAAAAAACGTCCCATTTGCCGGCATATTCAATAAACGCCCAGGAAAATAAATAAATACGACGAGTTTAGAACAGAGTAAAACCTCGTGTCCGCAGGCCGTTGATAAAGTACCTATTTCTGAAATTGGCTCTTTTCCTTTTTAACCTTCCTGTCGGGAGATAACAGGCATCTGATCACATGATCTGCCGGAACTCTAGTCACTGTATATTTCTAGTCGTTATGGGACTGCTTGCATATACTCTGAATTGAGACCCACGTCATAACTAAATGCGCATTACCCGCAACCTATCGGTATACGCAATTCCATCATAAAATCCTTCTGCATTTACGATCTACAAGGATAAAAAAACGTTACCTTACGTAATCCGAACAAAAGTGGGGACGAGAAGGGCTTACCTATTTGTTCTGGAGAAGAACTGCTGCTGGTGTGATGCAGACCAGAAGGAGAACCAATAGCTTGGCCAGATAAGTTTCATATCAGCCTGATAGGTGTGGTAAATTCCATGAATTCGACACGTGAACGCCATAATAGTGTTCTTTATTGACGCTTGGCATTGTCTAAAGGAGACAAAAACTAGTAAGTCAACGTCTTCAGGAGGAACGTGGGGCCGAAGCCTTGAAACGTAGATAAAAAAAATGGACTGCACAAATATTGGGCAATATCAAAGCTGGTAGAAGACTCACATTTTGTCTAGACTGCCATCCGCACAGTCCACTATGCTGCAACATCGGCACTCACTCCGACGATCAGAAAAGTTACCTTGCGATTTTCCACAGAGAAGGCAGTCTGCGATAGATTCCGTGCGCTTAAACGGCTGCCAGAGTGCAAATATTGTGACCATCAAGAAAATTAAAACATTTAAAGCACCGTCCTATATAAAATAAGCCGGCAAATAAAAATATAACAGAAATACAATAATTTTGGTAACCATAACTTTGGTTGACCAAATTTACTCACAGCTTGACAATTTGCGGTCAAAATTATTTTTCTTAGTGCTACTTTGATTTTTGTTTAGTTTAAGTTTAAGTTAATATTTAAGTCTTTTATTTTAACTTGAGTTTATCCGTAGTTGTTAATTTATTTAGGCACCGGCAAAGTTGGACAAAATGCACTTAAATAATTATTCCATATAAAACTTAACTAAATTAACTAAACTTAGGTCAACAAAACTAACTAAATTAAAAACTAAACTACACTAGAACTACAGTTAAGTCGATGACTAGTGTGTGGGAAATATCCTGGCATTCCAATCTAGTTCGTTTTCCTATGGAAACTCCATCTTGTACCAGCGAAAATACAGAGTCAACATGCATATGCAGTGACTGCCATGCCAAACCCAACGTCTGCGGGTGCATTCGGGTTCCATTGACTGGCATATTAATTTTTTAGACTTCACTCTTACGTCATCAGAGATTGTCGTAACCACTGCATAGCGCCGTTTAATAGGATGACATTCACTCTGAAGACGGGTGCACTCACCATGTCATTTTACAGCCACCGTCCCCCGACTGCTGGGACTTCGTGACGCAAATATATGCAGATGGATTTAAATCGACTTGAACAGTCACTAGTCACTCGGCCGGCGGTATTGATGACGTTAATGACGAGGAGATTTTTCAACCAGCGATCTCATTCCCCCTTCGCGCATGGCAAGGCAGTGTGAGACCGACTAGGATATAGTCGTTAGATATGCGTACTGCGTGCGCCTATTTCTCAGCACCTTGCTCTTACTCTCTTCCTCATCTCATTTTGCATCAGCGGACTGAAGGTGAGGTCATCTGTGTCTTTGTTTCCTGCTGTTCAAATGTTAGTAATCCAGTTGATAGGAAACAGACGTAAGTGGAACAGCTGCCAGATAGAATAAAGTCTACGAGCACACCAGAGACAAATGTGGTCCCGGTTTGCCCCTAAGTAGGAAGTCAACACAAATATACCTTCAAGGAGGTCTGCACAAAGTCATTGAGGATGAGGGAGATGAGCCCGAGCACGTTGCATGCACAAGACGCCACCGATGTAATAATGACCACACAGTACATCAGAATAATCCCTCGACGACCAGCAATAAAAGCGGGCACGGCAAAAGGCTTCAAAACTGCAAACAAGAGCATTTCTTGAAAGTTTTACTAAGATGAATATCACAGACAAGAACTATCATAACACTGTTATTAATCTGTAGGATTTGTATGCTTAACTTTAGCAAATGAGACTGAAAGATCACACCAGATCCACGGTAAAGAAGCAGGACACAGTATTAAAACCGAATGCCATAACATCAAGGACGCGCACAGACACGAAACTGTGAGATGGCGTGAACATTGACTAAGCACAAATGCTATCCCTTGCCCTCACCCCATTTACTCTTAGTTGAACTGCAACAACGGACCAATGCTTGCTCTTCTCTCAGTTCCTCCGACGATGGCCTTTAGTGTGAAGCCGAATGCTCAGACTAATACAAATACTGTCCCGCTGATGGCACCTTTAGCTCTTTAGTTTGAACTATGCCCAACTATTAGTTTTCTTAACTGATTTTGATTTAGCTGTCAACACATCAGAATGCTAGTTATTGCTGAACGCTCGTCTCAAATTCACAACCATCTTTTCTGAAAGTCTTACTTGAAGAGAGAAAGAAAAACTGCGAATGTTATTCGCAGAGAAAGGTATGTAGCGTACACGCTAAAGATGTTTTCATGGCATAAGTTATTTCCGCGTGTTAAGCAAAGTAGGTAAAATATTCTTATTATTATGCCCGTCTGCCTGAAAGAAAATTTTAATCTTCAAAAAGCCTCATTTTCGGTGAAGGCTCGTTGAAATAAAAACAGGGCCCAACCAAAACATTCATAATAGACTCCTGTGGCTTTGCGATCAATCTTTTCGACATGGGATTAACTCATCAAGCTTTTGCAGCTTATTTACGTGACTTCAATTGCAACCCTTCAGGAACCTTTGGGTTTATCACCATGCTAAAGGGCTAAGGCTTGATGTGAAGTGCCATTTTGAATGTTTTCTTACGTTTAAAAGAAATCTGCACATACCAACTGATTCTAATTCCCAAATGGGTTTTCCAAGTGAAGTTGAAAGTACGGCGTAGCCGAGCCCTAAACAGGTGGCAAACAGAATGGAGACTGAAAAAACGGTATAGGACGCAAGGAAGAAGCTGATACTGCCTTGATTGGGTGACACTGCGACACTGACCATCCAGTGGGCGTTGTTTGAAAGGAAGTTCACCAACAGCGCTGAAAAAAGATGCATGACAAAATACGATACCGAAATAACCGCGGGACACGTAAATTACTTAAAGTCAAAAATGTCAAGTTGTCTTGTGCCAACTGAAGAAGTGTTCATATGGTTAATTATCGCTTTATTGGTTTACTTTAACAATTTAAATGTGGTGTTCCACATTTATGAACCAGTCTGTTCGTGGTCAACAAAGCAATGAGCCCGTGGTACCGTTTTAGATTAATAAGCTCAATGGCAAAATGTCCTGGGTTTGAATATCGCGGGTTCTAAACTTTGAGATTAGAAATAACGGGTTGGCGACGGCTAACAATCCAAAAATGGCCATTCTGGTCACCTTTAGTTTTTCGGATCCATTTAATCTATAAAAAGGGGTTTTTGGTTGGAAGGATGGTTAGTAGTGGGAAAATGCAGAGGCACAGTAGATTCCCTATCTCATGAGATGTCACCCGGAATTCTCAAATGAGTTTTTGATTGTAACATATAAATTGCGGCTGGTTGTAATAGAGACGATCGTACAGCCTAATCTTAATATATTTTGGACACTTCAGGATGCCGGCTTTTTAACGAGCTTTTTTTCTGACCACCAAAAAATAGTAGGTACTATAAAAATTAACAAATTAAGTAGTATGTCCCTTTGTCGTTAAATTTCACTGCCTTTTTACATTCAAATATTTTTTTGAAAACGTGCACAAAAACTTTATTTCTTGTACTCGTTTGTTAGCAAATTACGCCTTCTTTAAATTTTACACTGAAAGAAAGGGTATCTTTCGATTTTAAGAAAAGTTTCTAAATTGCCGAATAAGTTTGAAACCTAGTGACTGCTACACTGGAATTCAATGTTTACAAACTGTGCTCTGTGTACATTCAGTTTAAGGAAAAGTACGTTTTCGCCTACAGATTGAGGAAGATCTCACATAGTTCTCATAAAATATTGCAATAGATATGGAACATGCTTTATACAGTAAAAGCAGCTTTAACAAATTGACTGCTACGATGTCCTATGAATGGACACCTGAAAATTGTAAAAAAGCTCACAATAAGAATAAACTTTAAAACCGAATGATACCTTTTCTTGAAGAATATATAATTTAAAGAAGGCGTAATTTTCTACCAAACGAGTATAGGAAATAATTTTTACACGCATGTTTTTCATAAAATATATTTAAATTTATAAAGGCAGTCAAAATCAATGACAAAAAGGCATACTAATTAAGTAGCCAATTTTATAATACCTATTTTTACTTAGCGGTCAGAAAGAAGCTCATTAAAAAGCCGGCATCCTGCCATGACCTAAATATATTCAAATGAGGCTGTACGATCGTCATTTTTAAAACCGTAAGCAATTAATATGTTTGAATCGATAACGCATTTCAGAATTCCAGGTGTCATTTCATGAGAAGGTGGAATCTACTGTAGGAATAAGGAAAGGTGTAAACATCAACAATGTTGTTTCATTAGTTTATTCAAGTTACGAAGCTACGTGCTTTTTCTTCTTCTATAGCGGAATTAAGACATGGAGTGTTCTGCCTGCTGATGCGATTCTGCATACACGGTTTTTATAGGAAGCTTCGTACAGCTGTACGTACCAGCACGTAGTCAGAAACGGAGGCATTTCCCCACACATCACCCCCAGAAAGATATAATTTATTTAACATGCTACTCCCCATCTTTCAGTAGTGTTGTTTAAAATAGTTTCGTCGAATGTCGGTAGAGTGATAAAGCGTGACCTATTTCATTCTGTGTGAAATTGAGGTTTCCGTCTTCATACGTGTTAGTAGTACACGCCAATTGGTGCCCCAGAGGGTGTTTATTAGGTTACGAAAATTAACGCGTGTGAGTTTAGGAACACTACTGGTTCTGTTCTAGCAGTCCCGAGGCGTCATTAATCTCGTCGGGCCTTGTCATAACGCATGCAAACTCACAGTAGATTCCATATCTGATGAAAAGTTGGGGATTGAGGAATTTAACACACATTTGAGGTGGTTTAATTAGTTTATTGGGTCGACATGAGGCACAAAATAGTGATTAATAGAATTGAATTCCGTTCATGTCAGTATAGTGGGAAAATGGAGGCAGAAGGGGAAAAAATCCAGCGTTTGTTGATATCCGAGAGATTTCCTACGCTACTAAACGTTGCGGAGAAGAAATGCTTGTTTGTGCACGTTGCACTATAAAAGAACATTTGTGAAGAGCAGGAACTTTTTAATTATATCTGTCCACAAAACGGCAAATTTTGTTTTGCTTCCATCAAACTGAGGTAAGTGTAAATATGAGATAAAGCATTATTGTCGAGACAAGAAAGATGCATTCAGTAAACAAAATGTTTCCTTACATATTTGTTACGTTTTGTGCCCCAAAGATAAGTAGTTAACTTACAAGTGACCAAAATGTGTTTTAGTACTCCAAAATTACTTGTCCTATTTGACTTTACATGAACTTCCTCGAAATTTGATAATTTTTTGTATTTGTACTTATTCTTTATTAAATTGCCATTTTTTCCACTCCCATGCCTTAAAAATATTTATATTTAACATTGAACCAGCGACTTGTCATATTGCCATTTCCTTAATTTCGAATTTTTTTGTAACGTAAATATTCATATGCTAGTAAATAGTAATTTGTTTACCAAGTTATGGCTTTTTTACTTATGGAGCTTACTTTAATGCTACAATAATTTGGGGGTACGCCGCGTGTGCTGACTTCGCGCAAAATTACATTTTTAGTGAAAACGCTAGGTTTCACCAGATAGGGAATCAACTGTAAGTTCAAGTTTCACGAGGAAACTAACTGTCTAAAATTCCGGAGTCTGAATGCCATGAATAAACCATGTGAAGTGGTAGTATCAACAAGTCGGGACCCATTACTAAGACATTGAGACGGCCTATCAAAATCAAGTAAGGAAAACTAAATTCGATAACAATTAATCTATCGATGTAATATTTACATTGTTTTTTAAGAATACGATAGTGTTACACATGGTTTAGACATGGAAATAGTATTCGACAAAACAAGTCCCCTCCTTGAAGATAAATCGGTCATTTTATTCGATGTATCACGACTATCTAGGAAACATAGGTTACAGATTCTAATTTAGCCGATTAGCAAACAAATTTTTCATGATGTAAGTTTACTTACATATGAGACGTGACACGCCACCTTCAATCATCCGGGAAATCTCCGTAGGTTCGGATACATTTGAAAGTTGCACCCATAAATTACTGCATCTCAGAAGTTTGAACATGGCATCCGTCGAGCCTAGTAAGCGAAATATTGCATTGAAAGCAAACGGCCATAGAGTGGACGTAAACGTGTCGTAACTGTAAATCCTGCAATCAAAATCAACGTAGGTTTCCTTCTTGACATATAAATTAGAAAAAGCTATCGACGGGTTTTTTGTCCGTGGTTTTGCACCTATGCCTTTAATGCCATCTAGCGATAGCGACTTATATTCGTCTGTCGTCAAGGTCAACTGAATAATCACTTACAGACGAAAACCGCCTAATTTTCCAATTACTTGCTAAAGCTCATGACCACAGTTCACAGTATTCACGCTTGACAGTTGTTTACTTTTATTTGGGCGAATGTGCGGATACAGGTACACCTAGTTCGTTCCCTCAGTGGCCTATGCGACCTCTTATATACGGTTGGCCATATAATCTACAGTAGATTCCCCAGGGAAATTACGAAATATGTTTTGAATTAGAACAACTGACCTAAGTAGGTTTGTAATACTGTCAAGCGAACAGCCTAATTTCACAACAATTTTAATCAGATTAGGCTTTTGATGGAAGCCTATTTGCGTACGAACGTCTTCAAATTTCCATATGGGGATATCGCAGAAATGGCCCGATCGGAAAGGGGTTTTGAGGGTCACCTACCCAGAGGAAAATTCTGCGAAAAATCGAGGACCAGAGTGGCGAGGACAGTTGTGAAGATGACGAGGAAGGCGGTGGTGAAGTAGAGGATAACGGGCAGACTGCCGAAATGGCCATAAATTGTGCAGACACCCACAGATATCAGGAGAAGGCCGGTGAGACGTACGCGGTCTCCATCTGGCAGGGCATCCAGGGCCGTTCCACTCACTGTATATTATCGCAGACAACAGAGGTGTGATTTTGTAAGGGCAAAATTCTTTGACTGTCATGATGACACAATTAATAACATCTTGCCTGCCTCATGCCGGAGGTTTCAGTAACAACGGTTTTGAGCATACTAATTTACTGGCAGAAAGATGCCATCAATAAAGCTGACGGAGACACGAAGGGCTATTTTTGACGTATTGGCTGAAGAAAACTAGTCATACCCAGCCCCAGGTGGTGGGCCACCTGCGGCTTGAAACCAGCGACCTGCTAATTTGGAATTCAACGCCCTTACCCATGTGCCAGTGTTGACATTTTTCATCTAAACCGACAAGGTAGATTTTAATCATGTAATCTAACCTCAAATAGTTGTTCTCCTGTTGGGGTACGTACACCTACCTACTGCCTTGCGCTTCTTCTACTCATACACGCTAGATGTCAAAATATGCCCAAACGGCCAAAATAGTCCGTATGACCCAAAATTGAATCGGCTCCTCCGAATTCGACAGAGGCCCCAAAGAGTCCTTTAGACTACGTACAGTGATATTTCGACAAACACAGGCGACGAGGTCCACGGAGAACCCTTGTGTTCATGCAAAAAATTACACGTGCTTGAGCACTCCGCAGAAGCTACATTATGGTAAGGAGGCATTGTAGCCCGATGATTAGTTCCCCAGTCACTCCAGAAAGATAGAGGTATCAGATAAATTGCCAACCTTGCAAACCCCGACGCTTAACGCATGACGCTGGTCTATTCAGCTGGAGTCAAGAATGTCGGTACCACTTCTTAATGGAAGATAGCGTTTAGTAAAGGTTTTGTTTTGAATTCAATTTATCAGAAGATAGAATTAGTCTTCTAGGCTGAGTAAACCGATATTTCGACAAACAAAGGCAACGAGTTTCATTGTGTTCTCCCCAGGGAGAGAGCACAGAACCGGTGGCTTGCATGTGAATCCTATCATATTTAGGCGTATTCGAACACTCAAAAGTATATGTCACGTCAGGTCCCAAAATTCCAAACC